GTACAACATTTGGGATGTTCCAGCTGACTGCGTGTGTGGCTGTAAATGCGGCCGAATACTTCTTAAACAACTCCACATTTCAAGTTGCTTTTAGGATTTGTATTTGACTGAAAAAAAAAAAAAAAAAAAAAAAAAAAAAAGGTTATATTTGGCTTTTTTGAAGTTTTTTCCCCACAATTGACATATTTAATATTTGGAAGTTTTTCACGATTTTATTTCTCCCCATCACATTTGCCCGCCCCTCTCATGCTCAGGGGGCAGTGGAGCGAGGCCCAGCCAACCTCCCCACCTCCCCATTATGGCCAAATGTGAGTGCGAGTGGGAATTGGCAAGCGTATCCTCCCGCTAATCCTTCCAGATAAATTCGATCTTTTTCACCTTTTTTTTTGGGCTTCAGCTGTTTTTCACATTTGGCGACTGCTATAGCAAGGCCATCCCTCAAAATCCCCCAACCCAGTCCTCAAAATCCCCCAACCAAGGTCCAAACCTCGGCCCACCACCAATCAATCGGTCAATCAAACAATTAAACCACCAGTACTTAGTACTTCGCCCAGCTATCGATGCTGAGCCGGCCTACCCCCTGCGCCCCAAGTTTTCCCGAACCGCCACGACGCCATTTCGACTTTGTTTTGGCTGGCGCTTCCAGCCATGGAGGTCTGGTACCCCGAAGCCCGGAAGTTGTGGGCTGTTAAATTTACGACAACGGCCCGCGGCCGATGTATGGGCCAAGTACTGGTGGTTTAACCAAAGGGCATATACTCAGGGCATACTCACACTAGGCCCTCGAAAGTCGCAAAACCGCACAATGAACGCCCAGACCGTGAGCTTGTAAGCAGAGGGCTCTGTCTGGCCGCTCATTTTGCTATTTTGCTATTTTGCGATTTTGAGGGCCTAGAGGCTAGTGCCATTATACCCTTACACTACCGGTAGGCCCTCAAAATGGCAGAATCGCAAATTGAGCGGCCAGATCTAGTCCTCCTCTTAGAGGGAAACAATCTGACCGCTGATTTAGCCCATTTTGCGATTTCGGCAATTTCGAGGGCCTACCGTCTTCACCCGAATAGAACGCCCGGTCATTATAGCTGTATTTGGCACAACTCTCAGCCCAGGTACGGCGATAATTACCACGCGTTCTATTCGCGTAAAATTCGCAGCCAAAAGGCTGCGTCTATTGCCATTGTCTTTTTGTCGTTGTCGTCGGTCGGAACAACGCTTTGGTAGGGTCTTTTTGGCAGAATACGGCCTTTAGAAATTCACATCGAAGGGTCCGGTCGCCCACAAGTCTAAGACCAGTCGGTGAGCGGGCGACCTCCGCGTCCACTGTTTCCTCTTTGGGAGGAGAGGCGAGATAGCAGGGCGGGAGGGGATGCGAGGGGGTTGTCTGGTCTTTTCTTTTTCGCTTTTTTTTTTTCCCTTTTTTGTCCTTTCGCAGATGCACTCGTCTCGTTCTTTTTCAACCAAGGGCGTCGCGGCACGGCACACAAAACGAAAAACGAGACGAGTGCATCTTCCTGCAGAAAATGGCCAGGTTCGTCGGTTTACTGTACTTTTCCACCTTTCATGGGCAGATGCGTTTCGTTTTCGTTTTGTGTGCCGACACCCCAAGAACCGATACCACGCTGGGCGTGGAGGCGCAGCCAGGACGGTGGCTGACCAACGATCGACAACCTCCCTGCACCTTTTAAAAAAAAAAAAAAAAAAAAGGTACCAACTGCAATAGCCAATTGGCGAATCTCAAATCGGACATCCAATCCGATCGCAAAACATACAGCAACTGAAGGGATAACCTTGCACTGACCCTCCTTCCGCTCTCTCTCTCTCTCT